CCTGAAACACAAACAGTAACTCTCAGGTTCAGAAGGAGCAGTGAAAAGACAAAGGCAAAGAGACTTCTAAAGAGAAGGGGTGGGGTTTGTCTGGGGCAAGGCTTGAGGCCTGCAGATCAGATATTGCTGCTTCTGTAAAAACTAAGTCAAATCTGTGTTAATACTCTCCAGCTTCTTTTAAGCTGGTAGAACATGCTAGAAAATCTGGAAACAGACAATGTGAAGATGTGATTTATGGCAAACAACTCTATTGGTCAGAAGGAAAGAATGTGCTCTGATGCTGGGCTAATTGGGTATCGTGTTGGAAAAGAATGAAATTGGATTCCTCCCTCATCAAAAATCAATTCCATGAGGACTAAAGAACTTATATATGAAAGGTAAAACTATAAAACTTTCAGAAGGCAATGTAGAAGCGTACCTCAAGACCTTGAGATTAAAAGGCACCTTAGCCAAGATTTTTCAAAAGTGAAAACTGTATGGGAAAATACTATATAATTACTTCAGCCCATCAAAAGATACCATGGAATAAAAAAAAATACAAGCTACAAGGGATTTATATCTAAAACTAATAGAATTCTACAACTTAATGTGAAAATAATAAATAGCCCAAAGGCTTTGGAGAGAGAAAGGATATGAACAGGTATTTCATGTAATAAGAATGGTTGGTAAACATTTGAAAACAGGGAAAATGAATAAATTCCAATTCGTTGGCATTTCAGAGACCTGAATGTAAAACCACAATGAGTTAGCATTTCACTCTACCACATGAGCAGACACTAAAGAGCTGCGTGTTACCTCATGCTGGCAAGACTCTGAAATAACAGGAATTGTCATTAGTTGCTGGCAGACGTGTAAATTGTTACAGCCACACTGGGAAACAATTTGTTATTACCTAATAAAACTGAACAGGCTCCTACCCTACGGCCTATCAATTCCATTCCTAGGTGTATATCCTGGAGAAACTCTTGTACATGGGCACAGGGGACATGTGCAGGAATGTTCATAGCAACACTGTTCATAACAGCCCCAAACTAAAAGCCACCCAGATGGCATATAAAAGATAGAATAGTCCCATGGTGGTATATTCCTGCCATGAAATATGAGACAGGAGCTACAAATACACAGCAAACCTCCCTGTCACAGGATGCACTCCCTGTCACAGCAGACAAAACAGAGACGCACGTGCAAGGATGTGTGCCAGAGTGGGAGAAACGACACAGAAAAGCCCTGGACCGATTAGCACACGTTTTAGCACTATGGTTACCTCTAGTGAAGTGGTTCTCAACCTTCCTAATATTGTGACCCTTTGAATTTTATGACCACCAGTCATAAAATTCTTTCGTTGCTACTTTATAACGGCTTTATTTTGCTACTGTTATGAATCATAATATAAATATATGACATGCAGGCTCTGTGATATGCAACAACCCCCAAAGGGTCATAGCCCACAAGCTGAGAACTGCTGCCCTAGAAGGAGCGGGGCTCTGTGGTTACTGAGGAAGATGCAGAGAGCTGCTTAGTACAATAGACAATTTCCATCTGTAGTCTGGGTTGAGTGGTATGAATCGCCTATACTAGTATGTAAGTGATGCATAAAATTATAGACACACTTGCTGTGCACATGGTGCATTTATGGTTTAGATTTTTAATAGAAAATAGAAGTTAACAAGAAAGAGGTGAGAAGTAAATGGCAAAAGCATGGCCCCAGAGATCGCATGGATGAGAGCGGGAGTAGAGAAAGGTGTGGTGGTTTGAATGAGAATGGCCCCCATAGACTCGCATATTTGAATGCTTAGGGAGTGGCATTAGGAGGTGTAGCCTTGTTCAAGTATGTGTAGCCTTGTTAGAGGAAGAGTGTCACTGTGGGTGGGCCTTGGGGTTTCATATGCCCAAGCCAGGCCCCAGTGGTTTGCTCTCTTCCTGCTGCCTTCAGATCCAGATGTAGAACTTTGTCACATTCCAGCGCCATGTCTGCCTGCATGCTGCCATGCTTCCTGACATAACTATGATAGACTAAATCTCTGAACCTGTGAGCCAGCCCCAATTAAATGTTTTCCTTTATAAGAGTTACCATGGTCATGGAGTCTCTTCACAGCAATAAAACCCAAACTAAGACAAGTTTATACCAGGATTGTGGGACATTGCTGAGTGAGACTTGACAATGCTTTGGGGAGGACTGTAGGAGGACTTTGGAACTTTGGAACCAGTCAGTATTAAAAGTTCAGGTGAGCTGTTTTGTCAGAGATTTGAAGACAAGAATGTTGAGAGCAGTGCAGACAATAAAGGCCTGGTTTGTGAAGTTTCAGACGGAAGCAAAGTTTCTACTCGGCCATTTGTATGAAGAATCTGTGGCTCTGGTTAGCTGCGGCTGAAGAATTGGCTGTGATTAACTAGAGACCAGAACCACTAATTTACCTTTGTTTTACTGATATAATTGATGCTGGTCAGCTGGAGCTGAGAAAGCAGTGATTAAGAAGAGACCACATCACTGAGGTGAAATCCTCTGGAACATGTTTACTGAGAACACACAGAAGCTGTGTTCCAAGGTTGTACCTGGAGCTGGTAGCCTAACTTGGTAATGTGTAAGAGTCACCCATGAGGTACTTGTTTTGAAGGCATGGAAGGGTCATGGAAAGCTGCTGAGGCTTGACACTGTGAGAAGCCAGGAGAGTCCTTTGGTGAAGGTGCAGCCTCAGTGGCAGTTGAAGGCCCAGAATTGAAGGGGCTGTGCAGACAAGCTGAGGCTTGGCACTATGGAGAGAGCCTGTGAGAGGTATTGGTGAAAGCACAGCCCAGCTGCAGCAGAAAACCCCAGCATTTTAGAGGTGCCAGTTCTGTGGGATGACCCCCCAAGAACAGCAGCAACTGTGGGTAATGAATCCTGCCAAGCTTGGAAGACAAGCTGTGTGTGATACAGAGGGCAGAGCTAGACAAGTGACTCAAGCTCTCTGAAGGAGCCCAGAAGATTTTGAGTGAATCCAGATATTAGACATTGCTTTGATGTAATTGTGATGGTGCCCTGGTATTTCATTCTTAAAGAAAGAATGTATTTAATTTATTTTTTATTTTATGGGATTAAATTTTAAGAGATTTTAGGCTGTAAAAGAGACATTGAAATTTAAAGAAATACTAAACTTTAAAGTGTTTGGATTTGTAAAGTCTATGAAACATTTTAAGTTTGCAAAATGTATTATATTGTGATATTGATATTAATATGCTGTCTTAGGGAGGAACAAAAAATGAAAGTTGTAGCTTAACAATGATGTGCTTTATGTGTCGGGCTGACAAGGAGTCAACTGTGCTGGATAGTTTTATGTCAGCTTGACACAAGCTAAAGTCGTTTGAGAGAAGGAAACCTCAATTAAGAAAATGCCTGTATAAGATCAGAGCTGTAGGAAAGCCTGTAGGGAATTTCCTTAATTAGTGACTGATGGGGGAGGACCCAGCCTATTATGGGGTGGTATCATCCCTGGACTGTTGCTCCTGGGTTCTATAACAAAGCAGGCTGAGCAAGCCAAGGGGAGCAAGCCAGTAAGCAGCACCTCTCCATGGCCTCTGCATCAGCTCCTGCCCCCAGGTTCCTGCCCTATTTGAGTTCCTACCTTGAATCCCTTCAATGATGATGTAGAAGTGTAAGCCAAATAAACCTTTTCTTCCCCAACTTGTTTTTTGGTCATGGTGTTTTGTCACAGCAATAAAACACCCTAAGATAGAAGGCAAGACTGGAAAGGGAAGAAGGAAAATATTCTAAGATAGCTCAGCCTTTCAAATTCATGCCACACAAGTGAGAAGACAAGTTCAATCCCAAGAATCCACATAAAGGAGCCAGATGTAGTGTTGTATACTTGTAGTCCCAGAGATGGCTCACTGGCTGGCCAACCTAGCATGATCAACAAGTCCCACGTCTCCATTAGAGATCCTAACTCAAAAAAGAAAGGGGTGGGGTCAAGGAAAGAGCTGATGAGATGGTTCAGCAGGTAAAGGTACTTGCTGCCAAGCCTGATAATCTAAACTCTGAATTCTATCCCAGGACCTATATGGTGGAGAAAACTGATTCCTATAATTTATTTTTTGACCTCCACTTTTGTGTGTGCATGCACACACACACACACACACACACACAGAGAGAGAGAGAGAGAGAGCGAGAGAGAGAGAGAGAGAGAGAGAGAGAGAGAGAGAGAGAGTTTTTTCTTTAAGTACATCAGGCGGTTAGACAATAGGAAGAATTCCAAGAAAGTAGGCAGAGTTCAGAGGCTTCTATCATTGCTGTTCTGGTTTTATTTGGGAGAAATGAAAGGGATTCAGATTCATGTTCTGTAAGTAATTGATTACCCTGCTAAGGTAGGTGTGTGTGTGTGTGTGTGTGTGTGTGTGCATGTGTGTGTATGTATGTGTCTGTCTGTCGTCTGTCTGTCTGTCTGTCTCTGTGTGTGTGTGTCTGTGTGTTTTTTAATACCATCAGTAGTTAATGATCAGGTAAGCTCATATCCTAGACAGTTTTAAATTGTGTTTGTCCTAGTTAAGTAACTATTGTCCCCCTAAAAGGTCTTAACTTCTAATGGAAAAACTGGGGATTAATAAGCTACCTCTGGTAAGGACTAAATTTGTTGATACTAATAAGGCAGTTAAAAATTGGGGATGGGGGAGCCAAGTCCTGAGTCTCTGTTAGCTGTCCTGTTGTTTTTCGTGTGCAGGTTTTCACACAGGGACTGGGTGTGGTGAGACAGGAGAAGCTCACAGCCCAGCTGGCTCTAAGGTGACACCCTGCCATGATCTGTTACACTCCTTTGAGAACTCAGCCCAGGAACACTACTGGACAGGCCATAAGACACCTGCTTCACCTCACTCTACCCAAAGCCACAAAGCAGAGAAATGTTTGGGTGGGTGGTGCTGGGCATGGCTGTTGGTATTCAGCTGTGTCAAGCTGCTCTGTGACTTGTTCACATATCCGGCTTGGGGTGCTCACTGGTTCTGTTTGGCTGTCTCTTCTGTCTGTGTAGGTCAGCACGTCTCACCCTGCACCTGCCTCCCCAGGACATTCCACAGCCATGGTCAGTGTGCCCAGCTCACAGCAACACCTCTCAGCTAACATGTGAGTAAAAAGCTCAGCACCTCCAGCTTCTGGCTCAGAGATCTCATCTTCGTAGCCCTTTCTCACCTAGTCTCCATGCCCAAACCATAGCATCCAAACAGCTAACAAGACCTCTTCCTTTTCCACCACTGATGGTGATAGCACTGATGAGAAAAATGCAGATTAGAAACTATGGTGTTGCTGGGAGATTGGATATTGAGCAGTCTTTATTGTCTCTCTTCAGCTTTAAAATATCAGGTCATAAATGAGTATTTACTTACTATAATTACTAAAAACAATAAATAGATTCAGCATTGGAGGTAAGAAAAGCACATTCAAATAAGATCCACTTTGATAACGAGCTTAGGGGTATCTCACAGTCCTTAGGATCTCAAAGGACTACTGGGCATGTCCAACTTGCAGCCTACATACCATACGCGACCAGGCATAGCTATGAATACAGCCCAACACAAAATCATAAGCTAACTTAGACCTATTTTTGCTTTATAACTTTTTGTAAACTCAATTATACAGTTCTGGGAAAAAAATTTTGTAGATGACAACATCATGTCACAATGTCAAAAGCTTGGACATGCCTGGCTGAGGTGACCCCAAATTCAGCAAGGCAATTAAGTTCTTTCTTTAATGCCTTTCATGAGGCAGCTGTTCTCATGTCCTCAGCTTCAGCCTCACTGTTCCCTGTTGTCCTCACTACGGTGACTCGTACTTGGACGCCACCCACTTGACTCCTGTGTGGACTTTAGAATATAGTGTCTTTTTTTTTCTCCTCACTCACAGTTTTGTGTGATACAAACCCATCCACCTTCACCTACTGTTCAGCCAGTGGAACCATTATGTTCAAAAATAATAAAGATAATTACCCCTGCCTCCTACTTCCCAATATACACTTTACAGTTGGTATCCAGCTATCTCCCAGGCCATACCTAGAAGTCAAACAACCCCTACTCTCAATCCAAAAAGAGTTTAATAGAGGCTTCTGTGATAACCTGTCTCCCTGAGCCTCACCATCTGCAGAACAACAGCAGACAGTAGTGAGAAAGCCTTAAGGTAGACTGTCACACACCTCTGCCACTGATCCTGCCCTTCAAGTCTCTTCTGTGCTGGAGACCAGTTCCCCAGCTCACAGGGCCCATGTTGGCCCACCTGATTTCCAGCTACATAAAGCCCTGTGGAGTGGAGAGACAAAGGCAGGGTATTCACTGGCATTTCAGCCGGGTTGTTCCAGTGCTGTCTGTCTTCCATGGTTAAGTTGCCATTTTTAATGGTTTTTGTTGCTAGGTGCTGGCAGATGAGCTACAGGTACTGGCCTCCCCAGCCTTTTATCAGCTCTATGCCCTCCTCAGGCATGCTCCGATTCCCTTACAAGCTCCTTGTGTTTCCAGGTTTGTAGCTCTGCACTCCTACTCAGCCCACGGACCCAATGAGCTGGACCTGCAGAAGGGAGAAGGCATCAAGGTGCTGGGGAAATACCAAGATGGCTGGCTGAAGGGTCTCTCTTTAGTCACAGGGAGAGCTGGCATCTTCCCAAGCGACTACGTCATCCCGGTTTTCAGGTACATCTCCAGGGCCTTTCTATGGGTTGAACTGATTGTGGACTCAATGCCTTTTCAGAGCAAAAGCCAAGAAATAGCTTTTGCTTTGTATCCCATTAACTTACACACAAAATATTTATATAACTTTCCCTCACAGAGGTCTCACTGTGTATTTACAGGCTGGCCTGGAACTTAGCCAAATTCATAGTCCTCCTGCCTCAGACTTCCAGGTGCTAGGACTACAAGTGTGAAACACAGTGCCCAGCTTTGCCTCATTTAACTCTCTGGCCATGCAAAGAGCTTGGCCTGTATTACTCTCCAGATGAAGGCACTGGTATGAAGAGAAATGGCTTGCTTAGGACTGCATTTGAGGCCTTCTGCTGCCGAGTCCCAGACTTCCCACAGCACACCAAAACAATATCATTGACCGACTAATTGGAAAATGTGACCAAATGCCTCCCTGGGGCATCTTAGGAAGGTTCTCAGGACACTCAAGTATGAGGCAGAATTTCCATAGATTCTGACTGATACTTTTCCAGGCATGTCCTGGATCAAAGACCAAGTACCCTGAAGGAGCTCTTCCTCACAGCTTTCCCCGTGACATACCTCATCAATGCCACCGACCTGCAGTTTGTCCTGTCTCTTCACACTGTAATCAATGCCACCGACCTGCAGTTTGTCCTGTCTCTTCACGCTGTACCCATAAATTCATGCAGACTTCAAATGTATTGTGACTCCTCCCACACCCTCCCAGACCTGCCCAGCGATGAGGCAGCAAGGTCCTTATCACTCATCAAACCCTGTCTTTGTAATATATCAAAGGGTCACAACCTCCAGGAAAGTGACAGATTGTGAGCATCAAAGTCCCATCTACACTTTGGCAGACCTTCCTTTAGGTGGGGCACTGCATGCGGAGGAGGGCAGCAAAAATGGTGAGAAAAGGACTACAACATGGAAGAAACTGATAAAGCAGGGTGGTTTAACCTGTGGAAAACAAAGGGCAAAAGGATCATGAGTGCTGCATGTGTCCGAAGCTAGTCTGAGCCCATGAGTGGCAACAGAGGAAAGCAGGGGATACAATGAAGGTTTGGGTTCAATAAAGGCTACATTTTTTAAGACATAGTTTCCTCCACATGACTAACTGGTGAGGTAGAGTACAGGCAAAGATGAGGTCCTCAAGAACCAGAGTTATATGAAAAGTTTTAAGGTTTGTGTGTGTGTGTGTGTGTGTGTGTGTGTGTGTGTGTGTGTGTGTGTGTTTTATGTGACAAAGTGAGAAGACATCATAGCTATTCCTTTCAGTGTAAGGTACTTAGAATTTGATGGAAGAATGGTAAACTGAAAGTATGTGTAACTGATGCTTTCACCTCTTCAGGCATATTTATTGAATGTTTTTATAGATTTTATATGTATGACTGTTTTGCCTACATGTATGCATGTGCACCATGTGCAGGTCTGGTGCCCTCAGAGACCAGAAGAGGGCACCAGATCTCCCGGTACTGGAGTTACAGGTGGTTGTGGTCCACCATATGGTTGCTGAGAACCAAACTCAGTGCCTTTGCAAGAGCAGTGGATGCTTTCAACTGCTGAGCCGTCTTTCCAGTACCTTGATGTTAATACTATGTCTAATACCATACCTTTCCTGGATCTGGGGAGATATATCTGTGTGTAAGGATTTGACCTTTCTGAGAAGAAAGGAGAACGGGGGAAATGGGGAAACAAGCAAAGATGATCTTGAAGAGAAGTACATTCCAGGCCACAGAAACAGCAAGTTCAAAGGCCCTGGGGTAGGGATGTTCCTGACATGAAAACCAACCAGACTGGACACGAGGACATGAACAAATGAGGGGGAGACAAATAGAAGATGAGGTCAGAATGGTAAATGAGGCCAAGTCATCTAGAATTCTTAGGCCATAATGAAGGGTTTGGTTTTAACTTCACAACAGAGTTTTAGCAGAAGAGTAACACAACCTGACCTATGTTTAGCCATAATCTCTGTTTGCTGGGTTGAGAAAAAACTGTGGAGAAGAAAGAATAGAAACAGAAAAGCTAGCTAAGAGAATACCATAACAATCCTAAGGAGAAGGTAAGTCATCATGTTGTCAGCATATGTGGTTGTAATTTGAAGATTTGTGGATTCTACAAATACCTTAAAGCTAGAGCATCAGTGGTTTTCTAACATTAAGTACCAGGTGCGACGGGATAGCGGGGTCATGGTGAATGTGAGGTTCCCCCACCTCTCTGGTTAACCAAAAAGGAGCGTGCTCCTTTATTAGGATGGCAATGATGAAAACACTAACAGATGGGCTTGGGCTGTGGGCAAGCAAACACTTACCTCACAGCAGATTAAGTGTGAGGTGCCTATTAGTAACACAAGCATCTTTAAATGCTGGTGAGGCACTGAGTGTATACATCTAGCATTGAAGAGAGAGCCCTGGTCTTGAGATGCTATTTAAAGCCATTAATTAGATGAGATTAGATGAGATCATTGTGGTGTGGTGAGATGTCAAGAGACTAATAAGGGAGCCAGAGCTAAAATCCTCGAGGAATAAGAGGAGAGCAGACCTGGTGGGTAGGTGATTGATTGAATAGCTGCTGTGGGTGATAGGGTCCAGTAAGATGATCCAGAGCCAGAAGGTGTTGAAAATAATTCAGAATGACCATGAAGGGGCAGTGAGGGGCAAGGAGGATGCCCATCTCCTGTGGGATCAGACCTAAGCAGTCTAGGACCCATGCTGACTGCCAAAGTCTTTGCTTATATATCAGGCTTATCCCAGAGTCCTGGATGAGCCATCAAAGTATTAGTGTGAATGTGAGGGATCATGTGTTTGCTGTCTTTACATGAGTAATTTTGAGGAGGTATAAACTGAGGAAAGCCCTCAGTGTCCTGGGATATTGGGGATGTGTGGTCACCATGTGCATGGGGGATTCCAACCTCCCCATACTTCCACTTCCATTCTCTCTCCCTTGGTTTTCTCTTGAGCAGACACCCATTTGCCCTCAAGCAGGCCACGCATGTCTGTGTTCACCCCTCTGAAATGGCTGCATGACAGACAGTGGTAAGGTACTGATTGATAGTGAGCTGAGCCTGTCTCCAAGCCCACAGAAACCTGAACACTAGCAGATCATGAGGTTTTAAGGCTGGAGTATGGTTTTATTTGGGGAAGTGACATTCCCAAGAAGAATAAGTATCTCTGTTCCTAATTGCTGTCGGGTTAGAGAGAATCTGAGTATTATTTCCTTGATGGTATTTCTCATACAAAGAAAGCTCCTGTCCTTAGTAACCTTAGGGGTGAATGACATTTGCCAAATTTGTCCAGCTGGGTACACCCTTACATTGTGTTATGTTTCATCTTCCCACTTCTCAGAACTAAAAAATACTGTCCTTTGTCATCTTGGCTTCTGCTATCACCAAGTTCTACATGAGAACCTAGCAGGTTAGAGAGCATGGGCAAGGCTCCTTTCTGCTCTTTGACACCCCCTTTGCCTGTTTTCTATTTACAATGATGACTCTGTAGTGTCATTAGCTCCTGTGGTGTATAACAGCCCAGAAAACAGAGGTGTGAGGTGTCCCCTGGGCACTGAAACTTTTGCTTTTATAGCATCATGCCCCAACAAACTGAGACAGAGTTTATGGATTAACTATAGAAGTGGCCAGAGCTGGGCAATGTGACACATGCCTATAATCCCAGCACTTGGGGAGGCTAAGATAAGAGGATTGGCATGAGTTTGAGACAAGGCTGGAATATATAGTGGATATCCAGCCAGCCAGGGCTACATAGCAAGACTGTCTCTGAAAAAATGTTTGACCAAAATGGCAAGGTTTCCATTTAAGATTCAATAAGTGGGTCTTTCTAACTGCCCATAGTAGAAAAAGAAATAATAACCCCAGTTACCAATATGTTTAGCTTTTATTAGCTACAGCTAAACCTCTGCTTCCATGAAGTCTCTTCTCTTCTGCCCCTGAAGACATATGCAGGGTTTCCAGAGTGGTTGTCAGGGTTGTCAGAGTGGGTAGTCATGAGTCTCTTCACAGCAATAGAAATTATTGTCCTCCTACTTGCATCTCCCAAGTGCTAGAATTAGAGATGTGTGCCACCAACCCTGCATAGCTTGGCCAGTATTTCAGTCCTACTTGTGACTTTGAAACAGGAGCTGAAGAGGAAAAGATACAGGAAAGCTGGAGACAACATCTGATCCATTCTCCTCCTGACTCAGATCCCCCACTGAACCTTCAGCTGCCCACTTGCGTACTGCTCCCAGGTCCATCTGTCCATTATCCAAACCCCTTTTTAACAGTACCAGCATCCACTTGAGTCTTTGTCCTGTGTGCTCTCAGTAGGTGGTGGTCCTCAACTTCCTCATCCCATCTACAACTAATTTTCTTTTCTTGTGGGTTGGTGGTACATGGTCTCATGTAGCCCAGATTGATCATGAACTTACTGTATAGATGAAGCTGATCTTGAGTTCCATATTGTGTGAGTTTGAATGAAAATGGCCCCCTGTAGATTCACAGGGAGTGGCACTATTAGGAGGTGTGACTTCCTAGGAGTAGGTGTGGCCTTGTTGGAGGAAGTGTGTCACTGGGGATGGACTTTGAGGTTTCAAATGCTCCAGCCAGGCCCAGTGTCTTTCTCTTCCTGCTGCCTAAGTATCCAAATGTAGGTTTCTCTGTTCTTTCTCCGGCACCATGTCTGTCTGCATGCACCCGTGATAATAATGAACTAAACCTCTAAACCTGTATGTCAGCCCCAATTAAATGTTTTCCTTTATAAGAGCTGTTGTAGTCATGAGTCTCTTCACAGCAATAGAAATTATTGTCCTCCTACTTGCATCTCCCAAGTGCTAGAATTAGAGATGTGTGCCACCAACCCTGCATAGCTTGGCCAGTATTTCAGTCCTACTTGTGACTTTGAAACAGGAGCTGAAGAGGAAAAGATACAGGAAAGCCGGAGACAACATCTGATCCATTCTCCTCCTGACTCAGATCCCCCACTGAACATTCAGCTGCCCACTTGTGTACTGCTCCCAGGTCCTTTCCACCTGGCTCTTGTCCTCCCAATAAATCCCCTTCTATGTAACTAGGCAGGATGGTTCTTTATCTTAGCCTTCACAGACAAGTATGCCTGCCTTGTGCCTGATGGGTAGAGGAAAGTGACAAGGAGCCATCGCTGCCTGGCCAGATGCTATAAAGATGGCCAAGGTGCGACATTTCTCCTTAGCAGGAGGCTGTTTCCCATGGCAAGTCCAGCAGAAATGCTATGTGGAATGCTCTCTTTGAAAATAGGATAAGGCCTGACATCACAGACAGAAAGGGACACAGGGACCTGTTAACAGAGCAAACCAGAATATCCACTCCTCCCACTTAAGCCCAGAATGTCTTTCAGGGTCCTCTGGAAAACAAGGATCATAATGTCTTCAGGTTTGGGGTTTCCTGGGGATTAATTAATACATGTTAGCAAAGTGCTTTGATGTTGGAAGAAAATGATAGGTAAGTGCTAAGGTTTTTGCCAAAAGACACAGAGGGAGTCAGCATTGGATGGGAAAATCACAATTTAGGAGTTCCTGGAATCAAGCCCAGTGCTGAGTTTATACCTGGTGCCATAAACAGTCGTTCAAAGAAGGCACTGCTGGAATAAGACTGACTTGAGCCTAATTAGCTGTATTCTGTCCTTGCTTCTGTTGCTCCTGCTGGAAACAATTGGGGAACTAGTCTTGCCTGTTGCTGATGCACTTTCAGCAAGTAGCTCCTAGAGGCCTCTTGCTCAAAAGACAGATCAGCTGTACTCTGCTACGGAAGCCAGTGGCTGGAGATCTTCACTTCCTAGGCCTCATATCTGGAATACAGACTTGTTTTCTCACCAATGGATTACTCCACTCTCTGTTGACTACACCATGGGACCAGAGCAGGTTGACAGCTATGGATACAAGGTCCCTTACTGAAGGTATCAGTTCTTTGAGCACTTTGAAGCCTATGTTTCTTGAGTACAATTGGCCACAGTTCAACAATAGCTTGCCTACCTTCTTGCAACATTGGTTCATTATTATCATACACATAGTGGTTTCTTAAAAAGCAAAATAGAGGAAACAAGAAAGAGGAAGAATGAGGAGAAACATCCTAAAGAAAACCATGGAGGGTCCTGGGGAGTAGGACACCAGGAGGGTTTTCTACACCAGGGCCCTGGTGGAGTTCATATTTCTTTGTATTTCTGTGGAATTATCAGGGGCTATTTAATCAACAGAATAATGGAGAGATTGATGGGCTGCACATGGGAGACAGGAGGCCAGGTTTGGACCAGTTGAGAGGGAGAGAAAGGCATGTCAAGTAACAGCTATTACCATGCACTTCACAGGAGCTGTGGACTGGAAGCAGTGGCCATGGGCTTGTTTAAAACACTTTAGTGATGCTCATGACATTAGAGCCCAAAGCTGAAGCATTAGCATCTTACAAAGTCCCTTCAGGGCTGCCAGCTACCTAAGTTTATTTCATGTGCAAAACAGACAAATATTCTCCATTTCTATAACTAGCCCTGGAGTTGATATAGTTCAAAAGCAGGGCAGAGAGCTGGGTCAGACCTGGATTAAACCTCCAGTCTGGTAGCTGCTTGGCCAAATAACCATGAGTCTCTGTCTGCCTATCTCCCCTTCCCTCAGTGTGTGTGTGTGTGTGTGTGTGTGTGTGTGTGTGTGTGTAAGAGAATACACATGTATGTGTAAGTGGGTGTGAAGGCCTGAGGTCTACTTCAAGCATCATTCCTTTAGAATCATTCGCATGTCTTTTAAGCCAGGGTCTCTCACTAGGACCTCGAACTCAACAATTCAGGTAGCCTCAGCAAGCTCCAGGATCTACCTGTCTCCACCTCCCCTGAACTGGGATTACAAGACACCACCACCATGGCTGGCTTTTTGTACATGGGTGCTAGAGATTGCTCTTGTGTCCTCATAGTTTCATGGAAAGCACTTGACCAACTGATCGCTCTCTCCAGTCCCATAGACTGTAATTTTTATATCTATAAAGTCATAGCCATAGGGGTGCTCTCTTGGAAACCTGTTAAGAAGAACTTACATTAATATTCATGAAGTATGGGCTGGGGAGATGGTTGACTCAGTGGTTAAGAGCACTGGCTGTTCTTCCTGAGGACCCAGGTTCAATCCCCATCACCCAAATGACAGTTCACAACTGTCTGTAACTCTAGTCCCAGGGGATCTGCCACCCTCATATAGACATACTTGCAGGCAAAAACACCAATGAACATGAAATAAAAATAAATAAAATTAGGAAGGAAGAGAGAAGAAGGAAGGAAGGAAGGAAGGGAAAGAAAGAACAAAAAGAAAGAAAGAAAGAAAGAAAGAAAGAAAGAAAGAAAGAAAGAAAGAAAGAAAGGAAGAAAGACTAGGCTGGTTGACTTCCTGACCAGGGTTTTTCTTTAACAACAACAAAAAAAAAATTGTGAGCTACCTGCCAGCATCTGGCTTACAGTAAGCACTCAACATGTACTAACCAAAATGACTAGAAGGAGTGCTGAAGGCATGGAGGCAGCCATTCAACACACACATTAATCAGCAGTATGTGCAGAACACAGAGGCTATAAAATAAGCCTTAGAAACCCTCACCTTCAAATGGTTTAGCATCTAATGGGAAAGCTACTGAATAAATAAAGGCTTAATAGACAAAGTGAGCAAAGAGCAGTGAGTTCATGTAAGGCCTGTGCCCTGAACTTGGACTGAAGGAGTGTGGGGGAAGGGGTGATCAGAGCTATAGGGAAGAATGAAGTTTGGGTGTGCACATTCTGACCTCATGAGCCCTCCTCCCTGCTGTCAGGACCCACATATTAAGGTGCAGGGAGGTGGGATCAATTTAGACGGGTCTGTGGGTGACAAAAGAGCTGGGGTGGGTGGTTAAGAGTGACTACATTTGTATGGTTGGGAGCTATTTAAAAAGAGACAGAGGACTCTTAAGTGAACATTTTCTTTCTCCATTTCTTCCCTTTAAAATTTTAGTTCAACAGCTAGAAAGACATCTGGTTTTCCAGATTCCCGGAGCCCCACTGTCTACACCACATGGGCGTTACCCACCTCCTCTGTGTCCTCCCAGGGTAGCTTTCAGGAGGGTGATCCCTGGCAAAGCAGACCCGTCAAATCTGTCTTTGTGCCCACTGCCGTGGTTAACCCTCAAGGGAGTACACCTGGCCCAGGGACTTCGGGACAAGGGTCTCTTCGGAAAAGCAGGAGCATCATGAGAAAGAGTAAGTGGTGGCAGAGAGGTATGTGCTAAATGACAGGGGTTCCAATTGGAACACACTGAGTTTTTCACAAAAATAATTGGATTTGAGATGAGCCTCTTGCAAAGGATAAGTCCCAAGGGCCGAGTGCTTTTATTGAGCATAGCCTAGAACAACTTAAGGCCACTGTCTGAGTCCATTCATATGTACATGGTAAACCAGGGTGATACCAAACTGAGTGGCAGCATGTAATTGGACTATAGCCAAGGGGGGCACTGCTTCTTACTAAGACCAGCCAACAGCTGATATTGCTGGCTCGGTGCTTCTCAGACTGTGTTCTGGAAACACCCGTTGAATGGGCAGGAGCTGGGGATAGAAGACAAGATTCTGAAGACAGTATTCAGAAAACCCCTGTTTTCTGCGATCTTGTTTATGAAATACATTCAGAGAAGTTCTTTCAAGTTATGCAAAAGTAAAACTCATATCCTGAACCCACCAGGTCCAAATTTTTCAAGACTGATAGATAGACACCTTCCAATCACACTCTGTGCACTGTTCCATGACTTTCTTGTTTCCCTATATAACATCCACACTGAGCACACAGCAGTACATGCAAATCTATAACTAATACCATGCTGTTGTTATTGACTCAATATATTAAACTTCTGCATGAGATCTCATGTGCAGGAATTCAGAAAAGATCTTGAAACATCATTGTACAAAACAAGAAGGATTCTTTCCTGTCACAATCCAAATGGGGGACAGATTATTTATTCTGTCTACATCTGTTCTACACCCGACTTAAAATTGGCCCTGCAGCTTCTCCTGCCATCTCAACAAACATTTAAACATGAGATAAAAACATGGCAGGTCGGATTAGCCCAAAGGGACAGTATGCCACAAGGGAAAGTCACTAGGAACAAAAAAGCAAGCGTCCTTATCCTTGTTCTAGTCTTTTCCATCTCACAACCTGCATAGCCTCTAACTGTACTAGTACCTCCTGTTTCAGCCATCAGCCCCTTCTTTTCTGCCCCCCCCCCACCGATTATTCACGATAACAGACTTGGACAAGTCACCATCGTCTTTATTTTCCTCATTTGTAAAATGGGAATAATAATACCCACCTCATCACCCTCCCTGTGTTATATAATGTTGGCATAGTATCCCTATCAGATATAATTAATGAGCTAACCATACCGTATCTAGCACATAACAAGCTCTTGAGAACATTTTTTTAAGTTATTTTCTTGGTAAAGTAATTTTAATTATTAGTAAATAAGCCACTTCATTGCTACTACAACTAAACAGATTGTCTTTGGTCCATACATATCATGAGCTTGTTTAGGACTGAAATAATCCCTCAGTCTAGACTGCTTACCCACGAAAAGACTTGCATTCCACTTATGATAGTTCACGTTTTTTGTTTTTTGTTTTTTGTTTTTGTTTTTGTTTTTAATACACTGCTTCTTCGTTGCTGTGTAACTCTTGGTTGACCTGGAGCTTTGACTGTTTGTGTTGTATGCACACGTGGTAAGACAGTATAAGAACTCTTGAAAATTGGAAACTGACCAGATAACCAGAGAGGCAAGAAGCTAAATTTCTGCCACATCCATGGGAGCCAAGGACATGTCTGCCTGGTGTGGTTTTGCCCTCCCTAGTTCCAGAAGCTTTCCTTTCTCCCTTTTTCGAAGGTGACAGGTCAAGCTGATGGTCTCTCCAAAGGCCCCTGTGTCAGGGGCTGTCAGTGGAAAACCTAAATGGAAAAGTCAGACTCAGCTAATGGCAACATGCTTGCAGTATCTGAAAATACACCTGGGCTCATTGTCCACAAAAACTTCCCGACTGGTGAAGGGTCACAACCACAACATAGTGTGGTTTGGCTCAGGCCCTCTAAGCTAGACACACTAAGCTAGGACTGATACAAACACATGTCCAAACCGGCAGTAGTGGCACACACCTTTAATCCCAGCAGTTGGGAGACAGAGGCAGGCAGATCTCGGTGAGTTCAAGGTCAGTCTGGTCTACACAGTGAGTTCCAGGACAGCCAGTGCTGTTACACAGAGAAACCCTGTCTCAAAAAAAGAAAAAAAAAAAAAGAGCCTTAAGAGCTGGGGAAAGCCCTTCATCATATGTGGTTCTTCAAATGCTTGGAGACCCTTTGAGAATGACCCACAGTGCTTCACAAGGGTAACCCCCAGTCTTTTATCCAGAGGCAAGGACCCATTCCCTTGATTACCTATAGAACTTATGCCTAAGGGATGGGACATCTTCCTTACAGCCTCTTAGCGGGGCACGTGGTTTTCATTAACTGAGGAGGGACTGTCTCAGTGAGGCCCAAACCCACACCATCAGACGTTTGCATTGCTAGGGCACACTGTGCTATTCTTCGAGAACAGTGATATCCAGCAAGCATCTGTGATTTTCAGGCACTGCCTGGCAGTTTATGTGCCTTGTAAGATGCAATCCACACCCTGTGTTGTGGTTGGGAACTGTCGCTGGGCTGGAAGTAAACACCAACAGTGAGTACAGGTGGTGTTCTCAGCTGCTGCCCCACCCCCACACTTAGTTTCTATTAACAATTTCTTCAGCAGGCAGACAGCAGCAGCATCCTCTCCCTCTTCAGCTTTCCTGCTCCGTTGTCTGCTCACTCTGATTCTCACTTTCTTCTTCCTCTTTGGCCTGTCTGCCTCTGTGTCTGCTTCTCACAGTGAAACCTTGTGTGTCTGTTTTCCTATCCATCCTAAAGGGCTAGAGGAAGGGAAAAGGTGGGGGAGAGAGGCACAGAAATTGAAGCGGCATACCTTCAGACACTTCTCATAGCATTCAGCTAGACATTTACCTCCTGCCAGCAACAGCAAATAGCACTAAAGAAAACAATGGGTCACCTTTGAAAGACCCCAGGAGAGCAAGTGTGAGCACAGTCTCATTAGGAAAGCCCTTACCTATCTATTCTGGGATATCAGACACATTGTATACCCAGCCTGCATGCCACCTGCTGTCAGCCATCCTATTGCTGATATTGTTCTGTCATCCCCCAGATGGATCCTTGCAGAGACCAGTCCAGTCAGGGATCCCCACTTTCATGTTGGGATCCCTCAGGCACAGTCCCACCATGATGATCGGGCCTCAGAAGTTCCATTTCTACAAGCCACAGGGAATGGCCTCTTCCCCTCCACCCATGATGGTGGAGATGGGGTCTAAACCCATTTCCACTGGGGAGCCTGCCCTGACCTGCATCAGCAGAGGCAGCAAGACCAGGATCCATTCAGCATCCAGTTCCTTCATCATGGAAGGCAAAGAAATACCCATCAAGAGTGAGCCACCATCCAAGCCACCTGCGTCTGCCCCACCCTCCATCCTAGTGAAACCAGAAAACTCAAAAAATGGCATCGAAAAGGTAGGAATGGAGTGACATTGGGAGTCTGACTGTTCAGCCTCCTGGTGTTGACTGTGCACTGTCAACATTGCCAACCGCACTGGCAGCCTCCAATAAAATCTTCACACACAGCCGCGAGTTGGTGGTGCACACCTTTAATCTCAGCACTCGGGAGGCAGAGGCAGGGGGGCTCTCT